GCCTTTGAATTATGGTGTTGGTGAAGAATATTGAATATAGCATGGAGTACCAGGAGAACGAACAAATCTGTCCTGGAAGAAGTGCAGCCAGAATGCTCATCAGAAGTGAGGATGGCGAGACTTCATCTCACATACTTTGGACATGTTATCAGGAGGGATCAATTCCTGGAGAAGGACATCATGCTTGGTAAAGTAGAGGGTCAATGAAAAAGGAAGACCTTCAACAAGATCAATTGATACAGTGGCTGCAACAGTGGGCTCAAGGATAACAACAACTGTGAGGATGGCGCAGGACCAGGCAGTGTTTCGTTCTGTTGTACATGGGGTCACTATGAGTCAGAACTGACGTGACGACGCCTAACAACAACAATTGCTAATGATCGTGAGCATTTCTTCACATGTTTGCTAGCAACCTGAATGTCTTCTTTGGTGACCTCAAGTACTTCTGACACAAGCCAGCCTAGTCCAGGCACCAGCTCTGAGGGCCAGCAAATGGAGTAGGGAGGTAGAGAGACAAAAAAGTGAGAAGACTAGATAACATTTAAAGTTCTGGACCTTCACACTATGATTTTTTAACTTTTAGGGGCACATGAAGTCAGAAGCAACCCCAATCAAGCCATATATAGAAACAGTCAGAATTATTACTTCAGTGGGGGGCTCCACGTCATGAACCACAGGGAGAAATATAACACGGCAATTACAGGCAGTTAAGAGGTCACTGTGGACTGTGGGAAGAGGCAGGGAATGGAAACAATTTACTCCTGGAGTCTGATTTCATTAATAGTGAATCATTTGCCAACTGGAATCATTTGTAGGATTGGACCAATTAGCATACCCCAGAGTTGTTTTTCAGTCACAAAGAGTAGGGGAAGCTCCCGTGCAGAGGCCAGATGAAGACCTCAAATTAATTCCATTCAGACCCCCTCACAACTCTTCCTGAATCTTGAGTTTCTTCCATGCTGAGCTACCTTGGTTGTTCTCAGAGTCATTTTGGGATAAAGAACAATTGCAAAGCTACAGATTCACTGGAGTTGAGAGTTGTAAATTGGGTGGGAGTTGTAAATTGGTACAGCCTTTTTGGAGGGCTATGTGTCATTAGAAGCAGTGGTGGTTCAATGATAGAATCCTTGCCTTCCATGCAGAAGACCTGTGTTCAATTCCCAGACAATGCACCTCATGCACAGCCACCACCCATCTGTCAGTGGAGGCTTGCTTGTTGTCATGGTGCTGGACAGGTTTAAGCAGAGCTTCCAGACTAAGACAGACTAGGAAGAAAGGCCTGATGATCTAATTACAAAAATCAGCCAATGAAAACTCTATGGATCACAACAATCCAAACTACAACGGATCATAGGGATGCCCCAGACCAGTCGGCATTTCATTCCATTGTGCATGAGTTGGGGCTGAGAAATTTGTCATTATCCATCACAATTTAAAATAATCATGTTTTGATACAGCAGTTAAATTCCCAGGAATTTATCCTCCAGAAATACCTACAAAAATTGACAAGGTGTAAGTAAATACAAATAAGTTTACTAGAACACTTTTAACAATGAAAACTAGAAGTAACCCAAATATTCATCAACAAAGGGAATGCTTAAGTAAATTAACCATTAAAAAATGAATATAGCTTTTTAAAAAGGAGGTAGGCCTATACAATGATTTCATGAAATGTACAAAATATATTAAATGAACAAAGTAATTTGCAGAGCAGTATTTATAGTATGCTTCCCTTTTGTTTTAGAAAAATAGTACTTGAGTTACATATATTATTTATGATTTATGTGTGTGTATGTATATATGTATGTATTTATAAATTCATCTGTATTCCTTGTGTATCATAGACCATATACACACGTATTATATATGTTTGTAAATGCAAAGAAAACGTCTAGAAAGATATACAAACTGTTAATAGCAGTTACCTACTGGCATGGATTTGGAAGGAAACCAAAGTGCACAGAATGAAGGGCTTCAAAGTATACTTTGCATATTTCTTAGAGCTTTAAGTTTTATCCTATGCATGTTATTGCTTTTATAATGAAAAAAAGATAAAATATTTTTTCTAACAAAACTTGATGAATAGCTGTTACCAAAGACTCAGAGAAGAAACTAGTCTACAGGGCTTATAGCCATTGCCTCATCTACCCTGAGACCAGAAGAACTAGATGCTGCCCGGCTACCACTACCAACCCTTCTAATCAGGGCCACAATAGGTGGTCCCTGATAGCACTGGATAAAAATGTGGAACAGAAGTCAGATTCTTAAAATGTCCATACTTATTGGACCAGTTGAGACTAGAGGACTCCCTGAGAGATACTCTTTAAACCTAGAATGGAATCTATCCCCTGAGATCAACTTTTAGTGAAATAACAGATTGGCACAGAAAATACGTATGGTACGATGCTCCATTACAAAACCATCTATATAAGACCAAAAGGTCAAAAATTACTCTAAAGCAAAGATGAGAAGATAAGAAGGCAGGGAAACTAGAGCACTAGAAATGGAACAACCAGAACACAAAGAGAATGTTGACACATTGTAAACAATGTAACTAATGTCACTGAACAATTTGTATAGAAATTGTTAAATGGGAACCTAATTTGCTGTGTAAACTTTTACCAAAAACACAATATTATTTTGAAAAAAAGAGAGAGAATTGTTAATAAGGGCAATGATAGACGGCAACATTCTAGAAATAATCAGAGTGAAAAGACAAGGGATCATTGCTGATCCTTTCCTACCCTCTGCAGGTCCCATTCTCCACCTCCTCCTCCTCTTTAAAAAGCTATAGAATGGATCAGATAATTTAGAACAACTGTTTCACCAGTGGAATAAAGACTCACCCCTGCCCACCCAGACACAAATGCAGAGTTTTTAATTCCTTATTTTTAAATTTTTTGAAATGTTTCTTGCCCCTTCTTCCTAAGGAACCCAAGCCCAACAACCAACAACCAACCCATTGCTCCCAAGTGGATTGATGATTTTGACTCATGGTGACCCTACAGCACAGAGAACTGCCCCATAGGCTTTCCAAGAAGCACCTGGTGGATTCGAACTGCTGACTTTTTGGTTAGCAGCCATAGCTCTTAACCACTATGCTACCAGGTTTTCCAAGCCCACAATAGCCCTAAACAAAAGGTTCACCAACTTTACTAGCGACCATGTGCACAAAAACAGCAAAAAACAAAACTAGTCTGGCCACTAGAGGGGGAACGTTACATGCAAAAACCACATTAAGTTACTGCTTCACAGGAAAACATACCCACAGATGGAGGTAAAAGTGCTGGTGCGGAAAGCAGTTGTTCAAAGCCCACAGGCAGTAATCAGTGTGATGCAGTGATGTAGCCAGCCTTCGGCTTGCCTAATATGTCCTGAAGCAAAGCGTTCTGTTAATAGCTATAAAATTATAGATGGGAGTGTGGATCCCTTATTAGTGAGGTTTTTGTTCCCCCAACCCTACCCCCCGCCAGAACTGAATTATTTACAAATGTTTTCTGGAACAGAAGCAACTGTTGAGTTAGAAGCTGCCTTGCAACTTCATCTTAAGAAACAATGCCCAGTTTTTAGCCAGCAGCGGAGTGAGGAGTAGGGAGTAGGAGACTCTAACCTACTTTTCACAAAGACCAGGGAATTTAATCTTATCAAGGAAGTCCTCTCATATACGTTTTCAGACTGCTACTTAACAAGCATGATGCAGCAAACTTTTCCTTTCATTCTTCACACACCCCTCTCAGCCCTCTTTATCAACTGTATTCTTTTCATGGATTTGAGCCTAGTACAAATGAGCTGATAATGTACCTTTGATCTTCATTATTTCCAGCGGATGAATGTTTCACATATACCCAGCCATCTTCCACTCCACCCCTACGGGAAAAAAAAAAAATCCACTTCTTTATGAGAACATAATCATTTTGTAAAAAGAGGTAGCACATTCTGGGAAAGAAACGGATGTGATGAAGACAAGCGTTTCAAAAATGTGCAGTCGTCTTAACTTTCGCTATCTTGTTACCATGTTAAGAATGATTACTGCAATGTGACTAAGCATAGATCTTCAAAGTTTGGAATGGCCTTAAAACAGGTCAGAGATTTACACTCAGCTCACCCTATACTATTTTAACCTTCTTGCCTCAATTCTACCTTTCTGGAAGTACTTTCATTTAATTTTCAAAATTGAAGAACAAAGAAGTTTAGTGGTTAATGTGCCCAAAGTCACAAATCTAGTCAACAGCAGGACAAGAACCTAAACTTAGTCTGGCTCCAGAGTCCATGTTCCTAACCACTAATCCATTCCACCTCCTCGCTCTTTGCCTTTTCCTCCTTGAGGCTATCTCTTGGCCCAGTAACGCCCCCTCTTCAATCCACTCGTCCCCACCCCAAATTTGCAATAAATCTGAGTGTTTAGTGATACAGGGGAGAGACCAGTGAGCTACAAGTTACAGAAACTGTGTGAGTCCTGGCTCTGCCCTATTCAGCTGTCACCTTGGCACCTTGCAAACAATCTGAGTCCTAGTTTCCTAACCACACGTTGGGAATACTAACCAAAAATACCTGATTCCCCCCAAGACTGCCCTGCAGACTAAATGAGATCAGGTACGAAAATATCTAGCACTGTACCCAGCACCAAAAAAATAAAATCAAACCAGTTGCTGTTGAGTGGGTTCCAACTCACGGTGACCCCTTGGGTTTCAGAGTAGAATTATGCTCCATAGGGTTTCCATGCCTGTGATCTTTGGGAAGCAGACCGCCAGGACTTTCTTCCAAAGTGCCTCTGGGTGGGTCTAAACCCCAACCTTTCAGTTAGTAGCCAAGCGTTTAACCATTTGTGCTACCCAGAGAGCCGGGCACCTAAGGCGTACCTAAAATTGTTGGCTGGACGACAAATGAGCCACGAGAAGAGGTACAGCAATCACAATTTACAGCACAATGATGACCCAAGTCCACAGCAAAAGGAAAAAGTGAAATGTTTCATTACTTTAACACCTTGACCTTTCTCACTGGCTTTACGACACAGCCACAATCTGAGGGGGCGGACAATTGATGATATGCAGGGTCCCAGCACCACATCACCTTAGCAGAGGCTGCAACAGTGGGGGATCTTACACTCCATGTACCTAACACTTGCGAAGTCCTTTGTGGGAGACCTATATCCAAATGATTCCAACTACAGGACTAAGTTTAGGGCAGCCCACTCCCTAAACAATTATCTTTCAGAGGCCCTGGGTCCATTATCACTACCTCTGTAAAAAATGTGACAGCCCACAGCAGGGCCATCTGTCTGTGCTGCTATCCAGGGGTTCATCTCCTGACCCTTCCAAGGTGACCAGCTTCCATAATTTTTGGTGGATCTTTTTTAAGTCCGGAGAAGGAAATCCACCTTTGCATTTAACACGTCTCCAAAAACAAACAGGAAGGAAGTGATTCTTAACGGTTAATTTGGCTTTCTCTTGTGGTCATTTAAACCCTGTTTTTCTTGACTGTCCTCAGTGGAGGTGGAGAAGGGCTTAGTCGTTATCTCCCAAGACATATTCAGTTACTTGCAGCCCTTGGTTTACTCCTAGATCAGCAGCTCTCAAACATTTTGGTGTCAGGATCCCTTTATACTTTGAGAAATTAGTGAGACCCCCAAAGAGCTTTTCTAATGTGGGCTATATCTAGAGACTTTAAGCATATTCCAAATTAAGATGGAGAAATTGTTAAGACATAAAAATATACAAATTCATATTCACATCATATATAATTCATGTAGTCTCTAGAAAATTCTGAGATAATGAGAATAAAAAAGGCAAATAACATCTTAATATTATTATGAAAAGTTTTGACTCACAGATGCCCCGAAACGGTGTTAGGGACCCCCAGGAGTGCCCAGACCACAATTTGAAAACTGTCCTGCAAGGTAAAACCCACTACACCAAACCCTAGGAGTCGCTGGGCGAGGCAAACTGTTTGAACCCTTCCACAGACACCTTGGAAGACAGGCCTGGCGATCTGCTTCAGAAATTGCTCCTATGGAGCAATTCTACTCTTCACACATGGGGTGGTCATGAGTCAGAATCGATTCGATAGCACCTCACACCACCACCACCAATCCCTGCAAGTCCTGTCTGCCAAACCCTATTCTCCTTTGGACATCGTCTTATTTTTAAATCTGGATATTTATGAGTTAGAATTTAGATATCGGACCAATAATCTCTGAGAAGGATTAAATGAGAAGAGTTTAAATGACTAGCCAGAACTACTGAAACAACAGTTCTCCAAATAAAAAATACAAGCAAGCATTGAAAAAACCGCCACAGATAACGTTAGCAGGCTGGTAAACATATAATGGGCTACATGACTGCCCTCCGTTTTCTTTTTGCCTTCTTTTTAATTGCTGTTATTCTCACCAGTGGCATTTGCATAGGTATTGAACTTGCCAGAGGTTCTTTGTGAGGTGGGTGCAAGAGGAAAATCTTCAGGATTACACAATATTCTTAGCAATAACCAGATCTAATTTTCCCCTTTAATGAGAACTGTGTGGAACATGTAGAATATATCCTTCCAGGGTATTTACAAATTCAAGGTTTGGGAATCAATCATGCAAGCTCTTTTTTATTTTGAATATAGGGTAGCTATGAGTCAGAATCAACTCAAAAGCAATGGGTTTGGTTTTTGGTTTTTGAGCTAGGGACAAACATATGCTTTTATATGCAGTCCCTTTGTTCTTTCTTAGTCTGTTATGTTCTCTGTCCTATAGCTGTAACCCTGTAGCTGAGCAGGACCACCTGGTAGTACCTTCCTGCTGCTCTGCATTTAATCATATTCGTAATAGGAACAAATACCTAGTAAGCATTCACCCAAGTACCAAGCACTGTGCTAAACATCTTGTCTTTGCATTATCTCATATCTCCCCACAACCCTAAGAGGAAAATGAAACTTAATGGTTAGACTTGCCTAAAGGTCACAGAGCTCAGATATGGTGGTGTGAGGACACGATCCCTGACTATCTCATTTCAAAGCTCTTTCGTCCTTTATTTGATGCTAAACTGCCTTTTAAAGAGAGCTACGGAAGAGATCAAAGGGGCATCCTTTCCATACCATTTAAAAGTAAATAAATAAATTCTTATTTTTCTCTGGAGCAGAGAAAAAGTGTGGACTTTGTAAATGCAACAAACAAAGGCCCTTCCCCAGAAGCACCAAACCAAGTGTAGGTGAACATCTTATCAGCACCTCCTGACAGCATCTTATCTCTTTTCCTGATAGTCTGTTGGCTTCACTTTTCCCCTAAGCGACTGATTCAGAGCTTCTAAAGTTACCCTGTTGAGATGCCAAACTGACATTTTGGAAAAGCATTGCTCCGATCAATCTTCTATTTCCCTTCGCCTCCTTCAGCAAAGAAAACAAGGAGTTTGTCAAACACTGACCAGGCAGGCCAAGGGGCACGAGAGCAATCCCATCCGACCGTCAATTATTCTGAAATGTAATCACCTTCTTGCTTGACAACTGTGACTAATTCCAAAGGCCCAACCAGCCTCTAGTAATGATGATTTGGGGGTCAATTACCATTTGGGGGCAGATGAGAATCTGATCTGAAGCTGAAAAATTCCATCCCTTGGTGCTAATCCCCCGGACTTTCCAAGACTAAATAGGGCAAGTTTCAGAAAAGAAGAGTTCTTATTTTACAGCCTACTTGAATATTGTCTGTAATGATTTTGCTTAATCAAAAAATTAATTAAACTCCTGCTCTAATGGTCTAAACACAAGAGCCAGTGGAAAGAAGGGGCTGTGGGCAGCTGCCAAGGCTCCATCTGAGGCTTTTGGAGCTAATACTTTCCATGGTGTTTTCAGCATTTGAAACAACAAAGGCCAGCTTTCACTAATAGCACAACAGATTCTGGCAAACCCGTAAAGACAAGGCCTGCTCAGGGGTAGTTTGTATTACAGAGAATTGTTTTAATAAATAAAACGAAACCAACAGTCAAGAAAGTGACATTTCCGCTATTCTCTGATATTAATCTGCACATTTAGTAATAAATGCTAAAGTTAATGAAGATGGGGCCATCAGTGGCTTTGCTGAGACTATCTGCGGCTGTCAAATGATTTTAGGTGGGATGCAGCGGGGAGTCTCATAAGGCATTTCTAGGTAACTTGATGTCCTTGCCCTTTCTGGTGGGTCCAACACATACTTACTTGATAAGCCATCCTTCAGATATAAATACATGAGATTCTGTACCCCAAAAAATGCATCAACTCTTCACAATCTAGGTTGCAAACAGGCACCCACAGGACAAATCTGGCTGCAGAAGCAATTTAGTAGATCTTCACAGTGTTGTTCTTTTAATCTGAATTGTTTGCCAATATTAAAAACTCAGACAACTTCACGTGAAAATGCACATATCCAGTTACTCTTGAAAACCGGATGACTGACAACCCTGGGCTCACATTTCGGCACGGCAGCCCTTGGTGACAGCGGATGAGTGGCAGCCCCTTTGGAATGGGAACCACTCATACCCAGCCTGCCTCACTCGTTGACACCTTACTGCCTGGCCCATCACACAAGTCACCTCCTTTGCTCTTCCTAGTATCCAGCCTACAGGTTAACTCCTTTATGAGACATATAGCCAATGGGAAGGTAGTGTTTGTTAGAAGGAAGAAGGAAGAAATGGATACAAAATATCATTTTACAAGGTGTCATGGACTGAATTGTGTCCCCCAAAAATATGTGTCAACTTATCTAGGCCATGATTCCCAGTATTGTGTGAGTATCCACTATGGTCCACCACAGAAGTCTTTTCTCTCACAGTTCGGGAGGCTAGAAATACCAATTCAGGGCACCGGCTCCAATGGAAGTCTTTCTCTGTCAGCTCTGGGGGAAGGTCTTTGTCATCAGTCTTCCTCTGGTCTAGGAGCTTCTCAGTGCCAGGTCCAAATGATGCACTCAACTCCCAGTGCTTCTTTCTTGGTGATATGAGGTCCCTCTCCTCTCTGCTCAATTCTCTTTTATATCTCAAAAGAGATTGACTCAAGATACAACTTAATCCTGTAGATTGAGTCCTGCCTCATTAACATAACTGCCTCTAATCCTGCCTCATTAACACCATAGAGGTAGGATTTACACAACACAGGATAATCGTATCAGATCACAAAATGGTGGACAATCACACAATACTGGGAATTATGGTCTAGCCAAGTTGACAAACATTTTTGGGGGACACAATTCAATCCATAACAATCACCAACAATGGACTCGAGCATACCATGATCATGAAGATGGTACAGAACTGGGCAACATTTTGTTCTATTGTACATGGGGTCACCATGAGTCAGAGTGAACTCAACGGCAAGGAACCACAACATATGTCAATATGCAATATATAAAGTATATAATAGTGACTATAGCTGTCTACAGAGCCCTGCTGGTGCAGTGGTTAAGCATTCAGCTGCTAACCAAAAGGCTGGCAATTCAAATCTACCAGCCGCTTCTTGGAAACCCTGTGGAGCAGTTCTACTTTGTCCTATACGGTCGCTATGAGTCAGAATCGACTTGATGGCAACAGGTTTGGTTTTTTGTTTTTTTTAAAGCTGTCTATACTTTGGTATACTCTTTGGTTAGTAACCTAGAAACATGGTCCTTAAATGAAGGGCTTATTAGGATCTCATTTTCAATGCTTTCTAATGTTAGGGTAAAAAATACAATTATAAAGACAATGCCAAAACTTACACAAAAATATTTATACTATAACATTAATTAACAAGAGAGGAATTCAAAACACATATACTATAAATATAACTGTGTAAAAAATAAATGCATGCCAGGTAACAAGTAAAAATAAAAATGTACTAGAGAGTGGTGACTTTAAAAATGATAGCTTTTCAATTAAGGAAATTTTTGTTCGTTTTGTTTTTGTCTAAAATTAATTGATGAAAGTTTGTAGAGAAACATTTTATATCCACAAAGTAACAGATTAGCAAATGCAGCTAATGCACCCCCGCAGCAAGATCGTTCAAGAGAAATGTTTTCACGTGTTAGGAGGCTAGGCATAAAAGCAGCAACCAAGTGCTAGTTAAACACTTATGAGTATTATTTGACTTAGATTTTGAACAATGACATAAGGACTAGCCATTTCTTTCAAGCAACATGCTGGAAGTGCGTTGGGGGTCCTGCAGGACTGGAGAATCAAGATGGGATCCTGATGACTGGAGGGTGAAAACCATCACTCTGAAGCAAGATATCTGCAAGTCTGCTTGGCTGGCATGTGCCGCTGCTATTGGGTTTTACAGGCCCATCAACTGAGCCAACTGCCTTGGCTCTGCATCAGCTACTGTGGCAGAAAGAGGCCAGGTCATAAAAGGGTTCCTGGCAGAGTAGTACCACTTTCTGGGGAAAAAAAAATTCTGTAAACTGTCCACATAACAAAAATTTCAACCAGCTGTTGTTGTGTGCCATCGAGTCGATTCTGACTCACAGCAACCCATATGACAGAGTAGAACTGCCCCACAGGATTTTCTAGGCTGTAATCTTACAGAAGCAGATCACCAGGTCTTTCTCCTGTGGAGCCACTGGGTGGGTTCAAACTGCTAACCTTTTGGTTAGCAGTCAAGCACTTCACTACTGTACTGCCAGCACTCTTTATCAGCCAGCTAATGGACATGAAAGTTTTCTAGCAAACAAAACATATAAAGGTCACAAAGTCATTTCTTTAAAAGAAAACACAATGGGAGGGAAACAGCAAAGGAACCAATAAGAGTTAGCAGATACCAGTTTATTCAACATAGCGCATGATTCAAAGCATCTGATATTTCACAGCCACCAAGATCTCCTACTTCTCCATTACAAAACATCGGATACCCTGAATATAGTTCATTTAAGGTCCTTACTCCTTTTCTTCTACATTTAGAATTAAACAGTTTTCCCTGTTTAGCACACATTCACATTCACAGAAGGCTTTGGGAAGAGGGGGAAATAGGGCTTGTAACTGCCCCTCTGAACCAAAGGCACTTAATGTTAAAAGATAAAGCACAGCAGGGTCACCCCACAGACATTCCTGTGTGTTCAGAATGCTGCACGTTAGCGTACCATCACTGGCCCACGGGGGATTCATCATAACAATGTAAAAGACACTGATTTCCCTGGAAAAAACAAAGTGCAGTATGAATATAAAAGACTCGTTACCCCTCACCCTTTTCTGAAAATAATACATAAGAGAACTCTTATTTTACATGATTAGTATCACCCAAGGTGCACACATGGAAAAAAATAGTTAGAAAATAATCTGTCATAAATTCTCACTATGAAATCATCACAATAGAATCTGACATCACTCATGGGATTTTTGAGTTGGAGAGAATCTCAGAAATCACGTTGTCCATCCTGTCAATTGATAATGAGGACACCGAGAACCAAGAAGGTCAAGTAGGGGACCCCAGGTCTAACCCCTATGGCATAACCTGGATAGAACGAGGCCCCTTGAGATCCAGCTCAGGGTTCCCTCCACTATCTCAAATCTCTTTAAAAGACTCTCAAAAATAAAACATGGCAATGATCTCCAAAGACGCACCCCACAATAAAGCACGGGCACTGACACCGGTCAGTGATTTGGTCTTGTGAGACGGTTCCTTTGGCCATTGGACAGGTGTGTAGCCCACCTCAGGGTGGGAACTTCTTTGCATGGGATTGTTCAAAGTTCTGAGGCAAGCTGAATACAGGCTGGACCCCCTTCTTCTTGGATTTACGAAAGGCTCCTCCTGCCTGTTAGCCCACGGTGGGCAGGCGGTCTGCTGCACAGCGGAATCCCAAATTTGAAGCGGAGCTGTCGGGTGTGTTCTGGCTCCGAGCAGCACAGCGATACCTATAGCAGTAGGACTGTGCAGAGAGAAGAAAGAAGGTGAGTTCTTCTCGGTCTCTTAGCTGAAGGCTCTAAACTGTCAGATGAATGTTCTACAAAAGTACCAGCTGTAGAGAAATTACAGAGCACGTAGTGAGTGCTCCCCTACAGACATCCACGCACATTCACTTAACATGTATATACTGAAAAGGGAAGAATGTTCAGAGTTAACCACATGTTATCCAACATCCTTTACCTTAAGAATAACACAGATATATATAGAAAGATGTTGGTGTGACCATTACTTGTAACAGTAAAAAACAAAACTGTAATAACCAATGGTTACACAAGTTATGGCACATCCATATGATAGTATACTAGGTTGAGTCTACTACTATCCCAATCATGGCAACCCGTGTGTCAGAGTAGAATTGTGTTCCATAGGGTCTCCAATAGCTGATTTTTCAAAAGCAGACTGCCAGGCCTTTCTTCTGAGACACCTCTGAGTAGACTCCAACCTTTTGGTTAGCAGTGACTACATTACCTATTTGCACCACCCAGGGACATTAAAAAAAACATGTTTTCATATGTATTTAACAACACAGAGAATTCTCATGATAAAATGTTAAATAAAAAAGTCAGGATACACAACTGTGTATGTGGTATGAGTCTCAGTCTAGATAATTATGTATGTCAAGGAAAAAAAAAAAAGACTAGAAAATTCAATGTTAACAGTTGTTATCTTCAAGTAATGAGGTTACAAATTTCCTACAATAAGTATACATTACTTTTACCACTTAAAAAGTTACTTTTACATTTAGAATGATATTGACATTAAAACTAAGTAATAAAGATATACAACATTGAGAAGTTATGAAGAACAATAATAAGATGCCACTTCGTATCCAGCAGACTGGCAACTTTAGTAGCACCAAGCATGGGCAAGGCTGTGGGCCAACAGAAACCCTTACATGTTGCTTTTGGAGTTTGAATAATAACTCAAAAAGCTATCAGTCTTTGTGATGTGTTTTGTACCTGTTTTATTTTCTATCAGCAGGGTAAGGTATATATACATGTGCACAAACATCCAAAACACTGAGCACTTGGTACACACCAGGCACGGTACTAGGCATGTTCACCTTGTTATTTCCTCTGAGCGTAACAGCCCAGAGAAATTGTTAGACAAAGTAGGAATCCAGCCTAGGCCTTCTGAGTCTCACTACGGTGTACTTGCCCCCCTAGGGAGGTTACACTCCCATGAGGAAAGGAAACCACATCTCGTGTCTTTACCACCTCCCCCCAATACACTCCTCATGCGTGCACACATACACTCACACAAACATATAAGAAAGCCTAACACATATCCCAGAGTACCTAGAAGATATTCAGTGAATAACCACAGATCACTTGACTCAAAGACTTAAAAGCTTTCAGATTCCAAAGACAATCATGCATGGAACCCTCCTTGTTCTTCGATGCAAAATAACAGAGAATGAAAATAAACCATTTATCTCGTGTACCACGAGCATTAACCCTGAGTTGGCCCGGTGAAACTACAGCCCCTGCCAGCTGCTAAGTGAACTGCACTTTTTATTCGGGTAGAATAACTTTGAGACTCAGGAAGAAGAGATAATTTATGGAGGGGAGGGAGATGATAAGTCAGTATGCAAGAGGATATTTTAAAGTTCTTATTATTCTCTCTCACAAAAGTGGAACACTTCTAATCTTCATAAAAATTATCTCTAAAGTTGACACAGAAATTCTCTGGAGCACTCCTCCATAGAAAGAAAGATACGGTGCTTTGTCTTGTACAGATAGTGAAACAAGAGCAACCAATTTCCTCATTTTCCCTGTGGCCTGGGAGGAATATAACCTCTTACCAACTCTCAGGCAGGGAGAGGGAAGATGAAAAAACAAAGTGCTTGAAATAATAGTAAAAAACCAATGGCGTGTTATCCACATGCAAGAGAAGCTCCAAAATGACTAGAAGTGACCATGCAGGACATGCAGCAGGAGCCTTGTTCTACAAAGGAACCACTCACTGAGCTGCTGGGAAGCAGCAGTGCTTTGGAGTTTCTAGAACCAAGCTCCTGTGGATAATCCAGGGTCCCAATGAACTAAGTATATAGAGTGAATTCCACACTGCAGCAAAGATCAAGTTCAGGGGAAGACTGACAGCCGGACATCGACATTCTTGTTCCATAACTGTACCACATGTGACAAAAACCAATCAGTCAAGCACTTCCTGATCGCGTACCGTGTGTCCCTGTGAGGAGCCCAGAGTCTAGGCATGATCATATCCTGATGGAGATCACAGGCTGGTTGAGGAAACAATGATTATACAAACATGTTATGATTAAACCGTTCTGCGATTACTAATTCATGGGGAAAAACTGTCTCTTGTAGAATCCTAAAGTCTTTAGAAAAGATTTTGTCCTGGGTGGGATTTACATGATTATGGCAGTGGTTCTCAAAAACTTGGCATACATTAGAATAGCCTGGAAAGCTTGTTTATATACATATTGCTAGGCATGACACCCAGAGATTCTGATTCAGTATGTCGGTGGTGGGGCCTAAGAATTTGCATTTCTAACAAGGTCCAGGTGCTGCTGATGCTACTGGTCCACAGCCCACATTTTGAGTAGCACTGATTTCGAGGATTTAGAAAGCAGGAAAGAAGGCATGTTAAGTGGCGAAAACAATGACATCAGAGCCATGAACGTGGAAAAATTCAGGCAGGTTAAGAGGACAGCAAGACCATATAGCCTGATCATGTCTGAAAATGGTTTATTTACTCACTAAATATTTGAGAGAGTACAATACGTCAGACACTACTCCAGGTACCAGAGCTGCAATGAGAAATGTGATAGACAAGGTACCTGTTATCAGGGAGCTTATATTCAACAGGGAGTGGTCCGACAATAAATAAATCAGTACGTTCAAGATCGTCTCTGGTAGCAGTTGTCTTTAAAAAGAGTAAAATAGGGACAGGGACTAAGAATGACTAGGAGGCTATTTCAGGTAGGACGGGTGGGAAGGCAACAGGTGAGCTGAGTTGCCTCAAGATTTAAAGAATGAGAATTCCAGGCAAAAGCAATGACTAATACAAAGACGGCTAATGATAAGAAACAGGAAATGTGGGGGGATAAATATGATGGAGTCACATTATAGGCAGCCTTCTCAGCAGAAAGAGTTTGGGTTTGATACAAATAAAAATTGTGAAAATCAAACAGTTGCTAATTTATTCACCAGAAAGGGCAAAATCCAAGATTCATTAGCTATGTAAACTTGGCAAATCCTTCCAGAATCTGTTCACTCATCAATAAAATGGGGCTATTAATGTAACAATGTCAAAACATTTCATTTTTATGTTTACATAAAACATAAGCACTCCTGGGTTTTGGCACAAAAAAAAAAAAAACCCACCAACAACAAAAAGTAAAGCACTGTACACGTGGAAGACATTATAATTGTTACTTGATGATGAACAAAACACTCTTAATCACAGAAAGAACTTTGCCTTGTCTTATCAGACCTCTTTGGGTTAATTTAAGCTGCTTCTTCACTAACATAAGAGCATTAGCCAGCTTCTAAGCAGGTCTTAGGGATCTTGTGTTGGACTGTGGAAAGATGACACTACCTCTGCCAGCATCTAAATGTGGGTATACATTTGCAACATTAGTGGGAAAGTTTTATTTGCTATATAAATGGGAAACTGAGGGATATCTCTGCTGATACGGCATTAGATTGAGGTCTTTGTTGGATGGCTCATTTCTATATGCAATGGATCTCTGAAGCTATGTAACAAAATAAATACATAACAAATACATAACAAATACATAACAAAATAAATACATAAATCACCAAAGCAAAGCAAATTAAAAAAAATTACATTATCCTTTCTTTCTTTTTAGAGTATTACTTTTCACCTATGCCATAAGCATCATTTCTAGGATTCTGCCCATCTAGTTAAGAGCTCGTTAGTTGGTTCCTTATTCAAAGGAGAAGGGGAAATAAATAATCTAATTATAATAAAAATGGTGCCTGAGGATGATGATGATAGCAGTGACTTTTACTGAGCTTCTACCATAAGCCAGCACTGTACCATGTGCTTTATATACCTTAGTACATTTATTTCCCCATAAGAACATTACAGTTAGATGCAAATTTGATGTGTATTTCACAAATGTGAAAACTAAGGCTTAGAAAGGTTCAAAAACCTGTCCAAGGTCACACACCTAATAAGGAGCTGTCACAGAACTCCAACTCAGATAGATCTTATTCCAGAGTCTACATCTTAATAATTTAACTATAGCTGCCACTCTTAATCTAGTAGAAAGGCTAAGCGCTCTGAAAGTAATTCACAACTAGCACTGTGCTGTTTTCGCAAACTCACAGAAATAACCGGACTGATGTTAAAGACCTACATCATAACAATTAACTTGACCAAGATCCCAGAGCTGCCATTTTTCTCTGGAAACTTTTGTGAGTCCCACTCCATTTTGGCATTCTGCTATTCTCTCTTCTGGAATATTCTTCCTACCACTTCAAGTCTAACTAAATAAAATTTATACTTCAGGTAGACTAGAATATGTTAAAAATGTATAATATAAACTCTAAATCAACCACTAAAATTTCAAAACAAAGAGTTATACCTAATAAGCCAAAGGAGAGAAATTAGAGTAATAAAAAAATACATAATCCAAAAGAAGGCAAAAAAGAGGAAAAAGGGAACAAAGAACAGATGAGGCAAAGAGAAAAACAAATAAGCAAGATAGCAAATTTAATCCCAACCATATAAATAATCACGTTAAATATAAAAGGCCTAAACACCTCAATTAAAAGGCAAATATTATACCAATAAATTAAATAACTTTGATGAAATGGACAAATTCTTTGAAAGACTCAAACTACCAAAGCTTAATCAAGAAAAAATGGGTAACATACATAGCCCTGTATCTATTAAATTTGTAGTAACTCTAGGCCCAGATAGCTTCACTGGGGAATTCTATCAAACATTTCAGGAATTAATAATATAATTCTATGTGAACTCTTACAGAAAACTAAAGTTGAGGGAATATTTCCCTACTCAAGCTATGAAGCCAGCTATGAAGCCAGCAATACACTGATACCAAAAACAGATGAAGACTTCAAAAAAAAAGAAAAAAAACAAGGAGCCAATACCCATCATGAACACATATGCAAAAAAGGTCAACATTTAAGCAAACTGAATCCAAAATACATACAAAGGATACTATAGCATGAGTAAGAGTGGTGTATCCCAGGAACGCTAGGTTGGTTTAACAATCAAAAAATCAGTTGATGTAACTCACCATATTAACAGACTGAAAAAGAAAAACCAAATGAACATTTCAATGGACGCAGAAAAAGCATCTAAAAAACCCATATACATTGCTGATAAACTCTCAAAAAACTTAGCAATAGAAGGAAACTTCCTCAAGCTGATAAAGGACATCTATCTAAAGACTACAGTTAATATCACACCTAACTTTGAGAAATTGAGTGCTTACCCCCGAAATCAGGAATGAGATAAGAAGGTCTGCTCTTACCACTCCTATTCAACACTGTACTGAAGGTTCTAGCCAATGCAATACAGAAAGAAAAAAATAATAAAAGCGTAAAGATTAAATAGGAAAAAGTAAAACCGTCTTTATTCACAGATATGATCACCTATGTAGAAAATCCAACCGACTTTACAAAAATGTTACTAGAATTAATAGATGAGTTTAGCAAGGTGGCAGGATACAAGAGGAATATACAAAAATCAATTGTATTATGTGAATATATTTATGAAAAATACATATTAGGTTAAAAAATATTTTAAAAGAATCAACTGGAAGCTTACAAAAATGTAAATAAAAAAACTCAAGAAACAAAAATAAGAAACATTAAAGTAGACATACTGATATCAGGATAGTCTGATGTTCTCTGACTATTTAAAATGTTTTTACAAGGTTTATTTTCCCCATTTATTCTTGAGGGAAAATCTTCTGGTCCCCAATTACTCAGAGATTAACTAGATTGTCAATTAAGAAAAATGACCACGTGGGTAGCATCTGGGGTCTTAAAAACTTGCAAGTGGCCATCTAGGATAAATCTATTGGTTCCACCTATCCGGGGCAAAGAAGAATGAAGAAAACCGAAGACACAAGGGAGCAATTAGTACAAAGGACTAATGAACCACAGGAACTTCAGCCTACACCAGCCGGAGCCCAGAAGAACTAGATAGTGTCCAGCTATCACCACTGACCGCTCTGAGAGGGATCACACTACAGGGTCCTGGACAGAGCGGGAGAAAAACGTAGAACAAACTTCAAATTCACACACACACACAAAAAGACTAGACTTACTGCTCTGACAGAGACTGGAGGAACCCCTGAGACTATGGGCCCCCAGACACCCTGCTAACTCAGAACTGAAGCCACTCCCAAAGTCCATCTTTTAGCCAAAGATTAGACAGGCCTATAAAACAAACAATAACACACACAAGGAATGTGCTTCCTTAGTTCAATCAAGTATACAAGACCAAATGGGCAACAATATCTGCCCAAAAACAAAGACGAGAAGGCCGGAAGGGACAGGAAGACTAGGTGAATGGACTCGGAGAACCTACGGTAGAAACGGAAATGGGGAGAGTGCTGACACATCGCAGGGATTGCAACCAATGTTACAAAACAATTTGTGTATCAGTTTTTGAATGAGAAACTAATTTGCACTGTAAACTTTCACTGAAAGCAAAATAAATTTCTTTAAAAAAAAGAAATATGTCCATATGTCAGAGACATAATTGGTGGCAGTTAGTGTTTTGAGATACTATTGTGCAAAAAGAGATTTACCTGTTTTTCATGGAAGTCTATCTCCCCAGCAAGAGGAATCAGGCACACTTGTAATAACAGCTTGAAATGAAGAACCAAGCTGAGACTGAAGACTCTGATGTGTATATGAATGTGTAAGTGTACTGGGGAGAACTGGGGCAATACTCATAATTTAAAACAAAAAAACAGGATTTTAAAAATAAAGTTTATCCACATCTTGTTACAAATGTAGGTGTAATGCATATGTTGAATTCAACTCTATGGACTTCCACCTAAATCAATGGATAAAAAATTCTAAATTAAAAAAATTGAGAAGACATACATACCCATAAACTTACATATATACATGATTTAGAGATTCTCTTTAGGCCAGTGGTTCCCAAACTTTGCTGTACATTATCATAACCTGGAGAGCGTTAAAAGTTCCTGATGCTGGGGGGCTACAGATGCTGATACTAATTAGACATAACCAATCACCTCATGGGATTAGTTCTCTTGCAGGCTTAGGGCCATGGTCTTGCAGGGCAATCCAGTCAATTGGCATAATAAGGTTCTTAAAGTTTATGTTCTACGTCCCTATGGTGAGTCGTGTCTGGTAATTGTTTACATGAACCACTGCCTCCTCTACTTTGATGGTGCCCAGCTACCACTACTAAATGTTCTGATCAGGAACACAATAGATGAATCCTGATAAAAAGGGAGAAAAATGTAGAACAGAACTTCAAACTCTTAAAGAATCTAGGCTTACTGGTCTTATTGAGGCTGGAGGAGTTCCCGAGACTATGACCCTGAGTTGTTCTTCAAACCTTGAATTGAAACAATCCCCTTAAGTCACCTTTAAACTAAGTAACAGTTTAGCCCAAAGAGTAAAGATTGTCACCTTTTAGTATTATGTTTCTTTAAAGAAAAAAATCTATATGAGACCAAAGGGTGAACAGCTATTTTAAAGCACAGATGAGAAGGTTGAGGGGCAGGGAGATTAACTAAATGGAGTGAAAGAACTAGAACATAAATAACGAGAATGTTGACACACTGTGAAGAATATAACCAATATCACTGATCATTATGTCTAGAAACTGGAATGGGAACAGGTTTTGCTGTGTATATTTTCACCAAAAAAAAAAAAAAAAAAAAAATCCTGATGCCCAGGTCACACCCCAGAAAAATAAAATCTGAATGAGCCAAGCATCAGTATTTTTTATAAATCCCAGATGATTCCAATGTGCAATAAAGTTTGAGAATCACTGTCTTAGGGTAAAGTTGATAATGCTTCCATTATCAAATTGGTAACTTAATTTGGAGCCATTATAGATTGTTTTAAGTCTCTGACCGCCTGGACTGAGTGAAATTCCACAGGAAACTTTTTGCAGTAATAATTTGCAAAATGTCATCTTTGCACAGGGATAGAAAGCTGAAGTGGCGGAGACTCTAAAAATATATGATCCAAAGAAAAGAGGGAGGGGGGTGGTTATTTGATTTCCAATTTCCTTATAAAGGTTACTCATGAAATATCAAGTCAAAACACCAAGTCACTCTGACTAACCAAGAACTGCCAGTTCTGACACTGAAATCATAGCCTGAAGAGCAGAACACTTTGAGAATACTGCTTATTTCACAAGGCCACACTTTATACCAAGAACACTTGGGATGTTTCCATTCCAGTAGACCACAATCCATCCTCCATTTACAACTCTCACACTTATCTCAATAAATTAAAGGTGTGCTTCCAGACTTAAATGCTGGAAAAGGTATATAGCCCACCCTGGTTCATGGGACAACAAAGGTCTCCCAAAGGGGCAAGATTCAACAGATGGAATTTGGCTGATGATAGGTCATTCACAACCTTTGCTTCTCCTGCCACTTTTCCCATGCCTGTCCCCAGACTTGAGATGATGGTCCCACTTTCTTCTGGCTTAGATGAAGGTAGGTGTGTATTAGCAGAAGTGGATGGGCCATGTTTGGGGCTACTGTTTACACAGGACCTACATACCTGCTATCAGAAGATGAAAACAGAGTCTATGAAGTGACTTACCTTATGGCACATGTAGGATCCACCTTTCTTCACCCGGTCTTTCCCAGAAGGGGGGCCTTTCTGTGGATGAAGAGATAGCATCTCATTAGCCCAAAGCATGGCTACCCCTCACACAGTGGGAAAGAATCCATTTTGGTCCAACCAGCTCTCTCATGGTTACCTAAACTCTCCACACGCATCTTGTACCCACACCCACAAACCCTCCCAAATGTCCACCTCTTCAAATCCTATCCATCCTCCAAGACCCAGCTCGAGTGCCCCCTCTTTGGTGAAGTGTTTGTGACTACAGTAAGCAATCTCGCCTCTAAAGCCCTATAGCATCTCTTGCCTAGATGACTGACTGATAAGCAGCTTGGCAGCATCTCTGACACCACCTTCTTGTGCTGATACGCGAATTCATCCTGCATTATAGTTGGTTTGCTCAACTAGACTGGCAAGCCTCTTTGAATTATATGTTTTTATAACTCTGCTGTGCAGTACCTAATAAATCCTTTGCTGACTGAATGAAGGAATCTGTTTGTTTTTAGGTCAGATTTAGTGAGGTATAATTTACATACAGTAAAATCAACCTTTTCAAACCCACAGTTCCTATGAGTTTCGACAAATGTATAAAGTCATTTGGTAACCACCACCACAATCAAGATGTAGAACTTTTTTTTTTTTTTTCAGAAAAGATTTCTATAGCGCTTACTATGAACCAGGCATGGTTCTAAGCACTTTGCAAATTGTAACTCATGAACTCTTCATAACAACTTGTGGGGCAGGTTAAGCAAGTGGCAGAACCAGGATTCACACCCAGGTAGCCTGGCTCCAGAGTCCACACTCTCAACTACTCCACTGTGCTCCCAGTTTCGAGACCAGAAGTGTAGGACATTGGGCATTGCTTAAAAAAATGCAAGAAAAAATAGTGGGTATCACTGTAGTAAGAGTAAGAACTAAAATCCATATACAACCAGCCAAAGGGGAAGACTTGTTTCTTCTCAAGAGGGCTCTGGATAGAAGTGCAATGGAAATGAACATCCTAAAGGATGAGAGCTTCTGCATCAGGTGAGTCATGCAGAGAGCATCTGAAGGTACCAAAACTGCCACAAGCCAGAACCATCGAGAAGAGTCTGAGGAGGATTTTTTGCTTTTCCTTTGTTGTTCAAAAAGACCATAACCACACAGCTGTTTACTCTTTGTTTACTGAAAACAAGAGAAGCTTGGGCAACCCCCCTCCTATCTTAATTTTCCCTTTTCTTGCCTACAACCTATTGTCAAAGGCCCATACATAAGTGGCACAAGTTAGAAGAACCGTGTTTTCTCCAAGCATGGCTAACACACTGACTTTCAAAGGTCTACTATGGGGGCAGAAGTTCATGCTTTCTTCTAAGCATTTCCAGGTACTTGGTCCCAGGCCAAACTATTAACTATTCCTTATTCGACCACAGGGCCATGGTGCTTAATGTTGCACTAATAAACTTTTCTTGATTGTAACCGGGAAAGCTACAAATGTGAAAAGCTGTGTGTGAAAATAATAACTAATAGCATAGCTTTCTTCCCAGGAGTATCTGGGCTCCGATAGATTTTGCATCTGAATCTGCTGGGTGAGTTTACTGTTCTATAAAAGTAAGAAAATCAAGAATTCACTGAAGCAGAAATAAAGAATTTATAACTGTGTAGCTGTTTCACATCATGGCCACACTCTACTACATTAAGTTTCTTGCTTGGGAATTCTTGCTTTACACCGCTGCAGGTGGCTTTCTGTGTGCTGTGTTATACAATGTACCAGATGACAATTTAAATTCAGATTAAAGTCTCTCACAGTATCTGCTCTCATGCAAGATAAAATTATTTCGTAAAATTAGATCTAAGAACAAGTAGAAACTGATTGGCCAATGGGAAGCAGTGAGAACAAAACAGTCCCTTTTCATCACCAACTCCAATGAACTGGGTCTGCAATCAATGAATATGTCACTCATTAAAGTGGCACAAGCACTCATAAGAATCCATCTGTGCTGATACAACCCTAGTGGTTCCTACAGTCCTCAATCTAGGTAACCGTTTACCTAATCCTTATAAATAAACCTATTTGAGCTGGAAAACAACATGACAAAGAATTAGCTATAACTGTTGAAAATGCCACTTCGCAAAAAAAAAAACAACAACAAAAAAACCAGAAATGTCTCCATTTCTATTTGTGAAAGAAAGACCAATCGGTCAAGAGTAACATTTATTGCTTTTCATGATCAAGTTTATTACTGGAGGTTAAACAATTCAACTGGCCACTGCTGGGAGCACTTAAATGCCTCAGTTTTCTGCCTCTATACAAGAAGAGAGGCTACAGTGCTGCCCCCACCCCCCGCCCCCAAGGTACATAAGAGTTAAGTAAGAACACACTGAACAAGAGACCGCCCATAAACAGAAAAGAACCCATGTGCATGTTGTCTCCAAAGGTACTACCCCATGTAAATGATCTGTTCCCACAAAAACCAAAACACAAACAGGCCTCCAATGCTTAAATGACTGTATGAGGCAGCAACAAACATGCTCCTCAGTGTCAGTCCCAATCATGTCAAAAGGCCAGGGGTACAGCTAAAGTTCTCAGGAAAGACATGAAGAGGCAATGCTCTGAGGTTAGTGCAGACGCATATACAACCAAGGCTGACCAAGCTGCTCAGGGCTGCCAGGACACACTTCGCAAGGACAATTTTATAGTCAAGGGAGACATGTTCTTCTCCCTCCTTCTCATACCCCCGCCACACTGGCAGGGAAAGCAGGAGAAGGGACAGACAGTGTGATAAATTTTCATCAATCAGCAGTCAAAAAAGCACTACTTTTAAACGTTATTTGGCACAATGCAGAGTATGGAACACAAAGCAGCTGTTAAAAAGAATGAGGATGACAGAAGAAGGAAAGGGAGGGGGAGGGGAATGAGGAGGCCTTTCTGTGTGTGTAGTATACTATTATTTTTGCTTAGAAAATAGCATGGAGTCAAGTGTTTACTCTGCCTTTCCTATACAAGCTATACCTCAGGGAAATAAAAAAGTTAATAAAGGAATGCTATTTATAAAAGAATTCCAGATAATGAATGCAGAAAGTGTAAGATGCTTAGAATAGCACCAATTTCTTTAACTTCTAAAGAAATAATGGATCTAGGCAATGATTATCAATGCCTGTTCAAACCATTGAATGAAAGGCTGATGGGGAACTTATAATAAATGGATCAGACTGGCAATGGCTGCTTAAATGCTGACCAGTCTTAATATTACAATAAGAGCATCAAGCATACACTCTATGCCGCCTGATGTGATATATATGAAGTACACAGAGCTATGATGTATATCCTCACCCACACGCATGTGCTCACACACACACACACCTAAAACCGAAGTAATGTCAAGGTCTAGATCTGAATATAAGTTTCTAGTAAATACAGGGGCTAGAAAAATGCTAAATGACACCACAAAGATACAATCAGCAAAATCCAGAATGTGAGAACATGGGGCGGGGAGGGGAGTCTATAAATTGAAGACTTAAAATACTCTTTGTTGGGGGTCAGTTCTATACGTCTTGGGACAGTTTTTGTCCCAGACTATATTTTCAAGGATGTTTGTATAGCAAACAGTCTTGAAAGATGGCAGAGGGCAGATCTGTTTCCTGGCCTGGATAATAAAGATAATGTCTCAAGCATGTTTATAATTGCAATTTGAGGCATTTTTATTGTGGCTGTTTTAAAATCTTTGACAGATAATTCTAACATCTCTCTCATCTCACTGTTGGCATCTATTAATCGTCTTTTTCCTTCAGTTTGGTATCTTCTGGTTCTTGGTATGATGAGTGAATTTCAATTGAAATCTATACATTTTCTTATTATGTTATGAGACTCTGGATCTTATTTAAATGTTGTTTTACCTAGCTTTCTCTGATAACACTCTGGCAGGAGAACAGGAGGGGCCGCATCTTATTACTGCCAGGTGGAAGTAGAAGTCCATGTTCCCCACTTGGCCTCTTTTGACACCTTAGGGGGTACTTCTCATTACTGCTGGGTGGGGGTGGCCTCTTTACTGCTAGGCAGTGGTGAAAGCTCTCACTCCATACTTGGCTTTCTCTGGCATTAACACTGTTGGAGGGTGTTAGGGCACCTCAATATATTCTCACAAGGGTGGAAGACTAGGCTCCCCACTCAGCCTTAGTAGGCAAGGGTGGAGTCATCATTTTTTCCTGCGATGTCTGACTAGAGTACAGTGGTTTTCTGTATTGCTTGGATGCTCCCTTCCTGCTCCTTTAGCTACAGAGAGAAGGCTTTTGTTGGGGTGCTTTTTTTTTTCTGTCTACACCCATTGGCATTTCCAGGTTGCTAGCTTCTTCAGCATCAATTCTAGGATATATGGGGCAAAAAGAAACCCACAGAACTCACCACTGTGTCATTCTTTGGGTCCTGAGATCCCTAGCCACTATGTCTTCTTCTTTCCAACTTTTACAATCTTATGTTTCTTTTACACATAATCCAGAGTTTTAGTTGTACATGTGGAAGGCATAGGGAAAAGTACATAGATTCCATTTTCCTAGAAGAGAAAGTCAAAACTCCTATGCTTTCATTTCTGAAGGACAGTTTTGCTGGATATAGAATTCTTGGTTGACACTTTTTTTTCTTGCAATGTTTTAAATGTCATTCTACCATCTTCTCACCTACATTGTTTGCAATGAGAAATCAGCCATTAGTTTCCTTGTTGTTTGCCTGTGATGAGTTGTTTTTCTCTTGATGTTTTCAAGATTTTATCTTTGTCTTTCAAAAGTGTGACTATGATTTGTTGAGGTGTCTTTCTCACTGTTTTTATCCTAATTGAGGTTCAGTGAGTTTCTTGGATCTGTAGGTCAGTGATTTTCATCAAATTTGGGGAGTTTTCAGATTTTTCAAAATTGTGTGTGTTTATGTGTCCCTTTCTCTCCCTCCTCTCCATCCACGACTCACATTACGTGTGTTTTAGAATTACACTGAAATGTTTGACGTTTTCACACAGGACTCTCTTGATTTTTCTTCAATTTTTTTTTCCTCTCTATTGTTTGGATAACTTCTC